TTCGAGTTTATATGAGTCGTCTATTATCAAAGGTGGCAATCTGTGCATTTGGACAAAAAAATGTTATTGATATGTCAATACAGATTGATTTGAATATAATCGTCTCCTTCAAAGAATACGTTTCAAAACCTGCATTAAATAAAGGTTAATACTTAACCTGCTATTTATCTAAGATCTCGTTCAGAAGAGTTTTGTGACTGCCAATGGAATACAAAGTCAATAATTCGTTTTTCTGATTTACCAATAATTGTCCAAAAGTCACATTGCCGGCTTTGATAATAGTCGACTCATATACTACTCCGATATTTCGGTCACAGATTTCCGGTACATTGTTCGTGCACCTAGATAGCGAGCTTCATATTAAAATTCTCTCCGCCTCCAGACACGGGCGTTGCCTTTGTTATATTTTTGCACTGCAGATGTTAAGATTTCACTGAAATAAATACTTCAATCCTTTGAATTGTGATACAAATAAAGTTTCACGGAAAAGTTAGAATTTTTTAATAAGAAATTGTTTGGTGTTATGCGATTTTATGCTTCCGTCGAAGATTCGGGAAGCGTTGCAAAATATTAGGTCTTTACCTACGAAATTGGCGTTTAGTATACAGAAAGTTAAAGCATTTTATTTATTTATTATTTGGTATTTCTATCAATGGAAATATTCACCCATGGTATCGACGTATCTCTGCCGGGGCGTTGATAATTTTTCAATGCTTTAATGCACTTCCTAAAGAAGTCAGGTGTGCAAAAGGTCTTCAAAGGCATTTTGTACTGCCTCTTAAGTATTCAAGTTTTTTTCCTGCCAAGAGGTTTTCCAAACTTTGGAAAAAGTAGAACTCAGTAAAACTTCGCGACAATACTTGACTGCGCTCGACTTAAGATTGCTTCTTCTTCTTGTCCTAATGCTACATTATCTGAAGTTGATACAGCATGTCTTTTTATCACGCGACCGGTAACCCTCTTTGGATAACCCAAGTTTTTTTCCTGCCAAGAGGTTTTCCAAACTTTGGAAAAAGTAGAACTCAGTAAAACTTCGCGACAATACTTGACTGCGCTCGACTTAAGATTGCTTCTTCTTCTTGTCCTAATGCTACATTATCTGAAGTTGATACAGTATGTCTTTTTATCACGCGACCGTCAACCCTCTTTGGATAACCCAAGTTTTTTTCCTGCCAAGAGTTTTTCCAAACTTCGGAAAAAGTAGAAGTCAGTAAAAATTTGCGACAATACTCGACTGCGCTCTACTTAAGATTGCTTCTTCTTCATATCCTAATGCCACATTATCTGAAGTCGATACAGCGTGTCCTCTTATCACGCGACCGTCACCCTCTTTGGGATATATATATTGAACGACGCCACAGGGTGTGAATTTTACTGTTTCTTCTTTTAATGTTTCTTTTACTTCATTCGTTTTTGGTTCTATGGTAATAATATACATTTGATTATTATAAACGCTTACACTAAAATTGAAATTATAATATTCAACTACGAAAAAGATAAAAATATGACATCAATTATTCATTATTTCTGTATTTTCAAAATAATATCGAATGCGTTCGTCTTAATATCGCTACTTTAACATATTAGCGTGTTACGAAACCTTTTATTAAAAGTCCTCTGGGCCACTATCGTTAAATAAAATCATTTTAATAAGCCCAGGACTGTGAATAAAAGAAACAGTACTAAACGCTAAAATATTTTTCGAAAGAGCTATCAAAACTTGAGCGGTCTTAATAAAATCACGCGCTTGTTTGAAAACTTTTCTAGTATAATTTAACTTCGATGTTATAATTTCGGTCGCGACGTTCATCAAATATTTGAGTGCTGTAGTTATCTGTGCTGTGCGTGTTGAATTTATATGAAGATTTAAATTTGGCGCAAAATTTTGTTCGACATATCTCATAATCTTACTTGCTGGTGTTATCGGGAAATTCGATTATTATATTTTACGTTCCACAGTCAGTGGTATCTCAAAATTTATAATAATATACTATATAAATTTTACATACGGTCAAATTGTGTAGTTATTAATAGCTTGCAATATGGAATCGATTAAATACCTTTATGTTAATAAAATTTCACTAAATGGTGGATTTACTCGCATTAATCTGATTATAAATTTACCTTACCATAGTTTCAATCAAAATAATATTTTAATATTTGTGTATGATTTATATTTACACATACTTATAATAAAACTACATGTACTCGTCTGCTTCGCTGGGCATTTAAAATTAACATTATTATTTCTCACCCCCACAAAGATTCTCCTCATTAACGCCCCGCAACTGGTGTAGGGACTCCAACACTCATATTAATATTAGCCTATCCATTAAGTACATGTATTTTGTACATGGATACCAAGTTTCAAGTCAATCGGATGCATGGTTCAGTAGCTATAACAGAACATCCGTAAAAACCATTGTAGATTTATTTAATGATAGTACCACTAAATAGTACTACCAAATTATTAACAGATGACGTTACTTATAGGTTAATATGATTTTTTTACTAAACTTTCATTGTATTTTTGCTGTGTAGTTACGACGAGTATCAGTGAGATAAGGAAAACAATATTTTAAAATCCTGTTTATGTCGTACAGTCGTGCGTCGTAGCTAAAAGTATTGGCCTAATCATTCATAGACGACTTCATCATATCTATCTATGACTAGACATAACTCCAATATTGAACGGCATATTTTCAAGCCTTGAAACGAAAAGGGTTTACAAGTAATTTATTTTGAGATCGGTTTTGTCTTATTGTGTAATATTGTATGATGTTGTTTAATTAAATTTTTCTCGGTTTAGTCTCGTGTTTATTTAGTAACATATAAAGAATATAATTTTAGTAGCGTGTAAGGAAACACAAGTGCCAATGAACAATTTAAATATAAAATGTTCGACGGTTGCTAATAAAATACTCAAATGACGTTGAACAATCACTGAAGTGCTTGTAACCCAAACACGGGTTACTTACTCTTCCAACTGTATACCATGATTGCTTCGCACTCAAAATAATTACATGATATCTGCTCGTGTGGACATATTACTTTTTTATATTGCCCTCGTAGGCAGACGGGCATACGGCCCACCTGATGGTGAGTGGTTACCGTCGCTTATGGACGTTAGCAATTCCAGGGGCAGAGCCAAGCCGCTGCCTACCGTTCAATACTCTCCACAAGTCTCGTATGAATAAAGACATGTCATAGCGCTCGGGAAACACCGTAGAGGAGAGCTCATTCTAAAGCCGGATGGTACGTGGCAAAAAAGATCCCTGGAAACGCGCTCTGGATGGACATGGTGGTGGGTCCAGGTAGTATGAATGAACTCTACTCCAGTGGCGGGCGGAACGATGGTAAAGACGAGATGATAGTATCATCTGAAACTATTCCTCAAAGCACTCCCCGTGGAACATACCGTATAAAATTTAGAGGGAACCGAAGACTCTTCGCAGACGTAGAGGTTCCAAACAATCAACATAACTAATCAACTATTTAAAAAATGTACCCAATTGATTTTATCGTTTTAATCACTTCGGATTCATCAGTTTGGGAGTAATGTAAGAAAGTTAGGATACTTCACAGCGAAAAAAATGACGCGTTCTAATTTAATTTTAAGAACTATAATGTAGATAGAGATCCTGGAGCACACCAATGCTATAAATATTTATGAGTGACTATTGCAAATAAAACCATGGCTAGGGTGCCAGCGAGGGCTATTAAAATATTCAGACAAAACAAACCATAAAATATATTTGGACGCGTTTAATTTTGATTCTCATGAATACTGATATTAAAAACGCAAAATATCGCGAAGACTTTTACCACATTTGGATTTATGTTAAACATAATATTCGTCTTGTTATTTGCAAACATTAAATACCAAATTTGGATACGTACCAAACAAAAACGTAATGTAATGACATATTCTAAATTGTCTACAATATCTTCTAACTTTTCTTTAAACTCTATTTGGGAGCTAATGTATGGGCTCAAATAACTATCAAGCCGGTGCTTCCTAAATTAGTCAATTGACCAACACCAATGGTGGCTGGAGTCTCAGGTGTATTGGAATGATTGCTCACGATGATCTACACTCGGCGGCAGATAGAGGCAAATGACGTGGAATGATCCGGAATAAACTCTTGTTGCGAGGTCACGACCCTCAGTATCGAGGAAATCGAAGCAAGAAGAAGGAATGATTGCCATATCCTATAAACATGAATGATGATGATGATGAAAGACAATAATGAATTACGCATCATTTTATTGTTGGTCATAAATTTTGGTAGGCAATGGCTTGGCTTGGTAGACAGTAGCTTGGCTGTACCTCTGGCATTGCTGCGCCCAAGAGGAACAGTAACCACTCGCCACCAAATAGGCTGCTCGACTCCCTAAATGGGCAATTAAAAAAAATCCCCTACATCCTATAACGTATAACGTGCAACTGTCGTCTTCAAACTTGACTTTTGCTGTGCTGATTCAGATTTCTATATACATAGGTAAAATCGGACCGAAGTTTTTGGATGAATCAAAATTATCTAGAGCATTACATTTTATTTTTTTTCCTTTATCTTGCTATCAGTCAGCTAGACTGTGAGCAGATGTGTTGAGAGCTGGCGATCAGAGCAAAATCTCCAACAAGACTGCTCCACTCTGTCAAACGTGTCTATCAAGACTTAGGAAGTCTATTTATTAGGTCCGGTGTGGTTAGTTGCGTGGCAAGTTTATTAGGATGGATTTCTAGCCTTTTCCTGCATTTCATACTCCAGGTCTTGAGGAGGAAAGAGGAGACTCTTTAACAGTCCTGATTTTGAGGTGCTCATGAATCTCCGATGTTTTTATAAACCACGGACTGTTCGATATTTGTTTCAAGATGTAATTTTGAACCCTCTGTATGATACTTATGTTAGAGTCACACGCCGAACCCCATAGTTGAATCCCGTATGTCCAAATTGGTTTCAAGAGCATTACAATTAACCAAAACATTTTTCCTACAGGTAGGGTGGCTAAGAGCGGAAGACCAGACCGTCCTAACTATGCACGACAGAGCGGTACTCGGTGCCCGCTATTCAGTCAGCCTGGACGCCCCGAGGACTTGGCAGCTGAGGATCCGGCCCCTCCGTGCCGAAGATAGAGGGTGCTACATGTGTCAGATAAACACACAGCCAAATATGAAGTGGCAAATTGGCTGTATCGACGTTTATGGTGAGTTGTGTTGAATCATATCTTTTTTTTTTGGTCTGTTGCCGAACCTTCTACGAGGTCCTCGCGCCTAAAGCACGCGCGGGGTTTGTGGGACTGGTCCGCGACTACGAGACCGCAGGCCCAAGGATGTTTTCAAGGCCCTACCCACTAAATAACTCCCCTGCACTCTTCGCCCAAGCGTTTGATCCCCTCCGAGATCAGAACTCGGATGAGGTAAAGAGGTTACCGCGGTCAACACTACAACCAGACGGCGCAACTCACCCCAAGGACGCCCGGCCGACGGAGCCTTCGAGGCGAATCGAAGGCTCTGAAACGTCAGGAGATGTTCGCTTTTAATAATAACGCTTAAAGTTGTAGTTTAAATATTATCATTTTATTTCTTTAGTCGCGAAGAACTACATAATTGTATTAAGAGTTTAATTTTCCAACGCTTCTCCTGAAAAATTACATAATTTACACAAGTGATGTTATATGTGCTGTATGTGCGATATATTTTCGATTTTCATATTCTCATGAAACCTAGCAAACAGTATTTGTGTTTGTCAAAACATTTACTATATAAGTCATAGCTGTACGCAAACGATATTCCCAAAGCGTAAACTCCTCTAGGCTGTGTTTCCAATGTGACACCGCGCCCTTTTATATCCGTTAGTTTGTCGGCCATGTTACACTGATCGATCGATAGGTGTGCTTGATTTATATACAGCGTGGTTTGTTTAGTTAATATGCTGAAACTTTTTGGTGGCAACCTCGAAGTCGGGCCATGTGATTTGTTTTATTTTGCCAATCTTCTAGTTTTTGTTTCACGAATAAGCTTGTAGTAAACGCAATTTTTTTTATCCGTTTAACATTAGTGCAATAAAAAAAGTGCAACTTGTTCTATTCAAAAGTGTTCTGAAATTTAACTTAAGCCCCATTTACTGTGACAGCTTTTGAAGATGTTTTGAGTAACTGAATTAGGCTGAATAGTCGATACGAGTTGAAGCTTATAATCAGATTGGTAAGATCACTAATTTATATTGTATAATATTTTTACTGCCTTATAAATTGGGCAGTATAATATAGCTATAGGTTTGCTTTATAAATGTTATATAGACTTTCACGAATTGCCTTTGCATGTCCAATGAATGAATGAATGTTCAGACTTACGAGTTTTCAGATTTATCAGAACTTCACGGTTTTATGAGCCGTCAATTATTGTCGAGAGAACGCATTCAATTGTAAAAGCTGCGGGATCCATGAGTAATGGTAATCACTGACCATCAGTTCGACCGTAGGTTGTCTACCAGCGAAACCAATCAAAAAATGTAATAGTTTTACGATTGTCAGTATTTATTTAATAAATTCTAAATTAGGGTTGTGCGGTATCAAAATTCATAAATATGCAATTTCAATTTTAAATAAATAACACTAAATGAACATCCTGTATTTGAAGTATAGCTTGCATCTACCAAGAAGCCACACCTATCACTTAGCCGAAGTGACCTACATACTCAAGACGTTTAATCTATTCTTAGCCGGATTAACTTAACTCTGTTAAGTCACGTTTAAAAATTAACAAAATTTTAGTGGGGAAGAATAATAATTAGTATATTTTCACCAAAAACTAGCGAAATTTATAAACAGCGTAATAGCCAGCTTAATCCATCACAACGAGCGTCAGTCATGAACCAATGCCCACAGGGCCTAAAGGCATAAGAAGTGACAAAGTTGTTTTGAATCCACTGCCTCTGTGCAGGTTGATACCACAGTGCGACCTTTTTCTGCTGCAAAGTATTCATGCGATATTGGATAAAGAGTGGAATAGCTATTTTAGAAAACTTCGAACTCGTCTTAAAGTGCATGGCGGCATTCCCGTCTTGCCATACTCGATCCTGTAGACCGAATGGTAAACAGTTGACGTCGCCCTAAGCATGTCATTACAGATCCTCCCAATCCATCAACGGTGCTTTAAGGTATCTCAAGCACTGGTCATCGCTCTCGCCTAACCCGTTGCCTGCGACGAAAGGCTCGACGAGTAAATTAACCCATAGACACAGCCCACTGAGTTTCTCGCCGGATCTTCTCAGTAGGCCGCGTTTCCAATCCGGTGGTAGATTCTGCGAAGCACTGCTCTTGATGGGGCCAGTGTTAGCGACACTCCGGTTTGAGCCACGTAAAGTCACCACGTCAAGGAGAAGCTAAAATAGCCTCTCAAGGCTATCAGCATAGGTAGGAAAAAAATAAAAGAAGCTTTGACTGTCTCGCAAACCGTACCCATCTTATCGTAACATCAAACTCGAGGGGACATAATATGAATATCATCTTGATTTAGACACATCGTACCCGGGAACGTGAAACTTCGCACATTTCACACGAGCCCACGAATTCGCATTAAAACTTTAAGAGAAATTATTATATCGTTTCAACTCCCAGACTTGCAGCCTTCTCTGTGGAATACTAAGCACAGGCGAGATGTTAAATTATGTGCAATTTTTCAGTGACACTTCTGAGTTCAATATAAATGAAAGGAATGATGTAATAATTGGCTTTTCAACGTTTCTATTTATTTTTTCGAATGTCGACAAAATTCGCTCAAGTCCCTTGTATTGGAGAGCTAATGGAAAAATTTAAGTCTTCATTACCAAAAAGAAATTATACTTGGTGTACTTACTCTTATCAAGTGATATGATCACGCCAGGATTGAAATCGTGCAAGAAAAACGTACCTAGCACGTATTCACGAATGATTTTAAATAGGGCTTATTTTGAAAGCAAATAGATGAGTAACTAACATCTCCCCTATTTTTGCTACAAAGCAGTCATGTGCGTGGATTTTAAAAGTTGGGAAGTAAAATTCATTACTATTACAACTTTGACCTCTAGTCTGGACATTGGCTTCAGTAACTACTTAGCGTTAACACCAGAAAAGCCCTGATTTCAACTAAATTTAAACAAACAATGACTATTATTTAAGATTGAAATTTGTGTCCTAAAACAACCCCAAAGTATAACTTGAACACGCCTCTCGCGTTGACAACCAAAAACATAGCAACAATTAAACGGCAGAATGTGTTGTACACACATTAAACTTTGAAACTTAACAGCTTTATTAAAATAATAATTCAAAGTTGGCCTGTGCAAACGCGCCGTATTACGTAGCGAGTTCAGCAATTCCGTGCCCCGATATTTGCATCGGCGGGCCAAAGCAAGATTTCTTTTTCAATTTGAGAAGTTGTTCGTTACTTTATTGGAAGCGTGTCAGTGGGGTCGACAAGGCTGAGTCGGATCACTGAGGCTCTAATACCAACGTTCGGGAAACGTTTTTTTTTTTCTTTTCTTAAAAAGATAAAACGCTTGCCAAGTTCTGAGAGTGTTTGCGTGAGAAGTTTTCGACTGTCCTCTTTACATTTATATACGGTTTTAAGATTAGATCGGTGACTTTGAAACTTTTAAAGTGCGGTAGATTGTGTTTTTAGGGCTGTGGCCTAAAATTTAGTGTATTTAATTGAGTTTTTTTTTTACGTTAGTTGAGACAATTTCGCAGTAAAAATTTTGATCCATTATCGTTGAAAAAAACCGGTTAGTTGGTCTATAATAGTTTATCTCTACAATAACTAACTTTAGTTTCAAACTTAGATACGTTTTGGGTCAACAGATGACATTAAATTTTTTCATAAGCAACGCGATTTTATGGCTTTACTATTATCGTGATTCTATTGTATGTATATGAGCTATTATCATACGTTTTCGTGCGACAGCTATCATCTAATGGAAAATGCATGATCTCGTCACTGAATTATATGTCATGTGGATATTGGTACACGAGCGAATTTTGAATGAATGCTACCCAAAATGCAGTTTTTTTAGCCAATTCCTCTCAATATAGTTCCCAGGCTGTTAAGAGAATTTCTTCGCTAATTTCTACTTAAAACTATTTTTAACAAAAGTATTTCTTTACACAATTTTTTTTACTTAGTTTCGTTACGTTTTAGTAGGGCGCAGCAGCCCTAGCCAAGGTTACAGAATCGACCTGGAGTCTATTTCCTCTAGATTGTTTGTTGAATGACAATATACTGAATCTAAGTTCGGAGTTAAGCACCACTAAACCAGTTTCGGTTTCCTGTACTACCGCTGAATTATAATATTAACTCACGTTAAGCTAGGCAAATCAGGGGTGTCAAAAAAAGCTTTTGTGATGTGTTTGGGGTGTGAAAATATAATCGACAATCAATATAAGTTAAATATTCAGTCTACTCCAATAATATTATATACACTGCATTCCTAAGAGCGTATTGAATTTTAGCAAAATAAACAATAGAGCACGTCACTGGTTTTCAATCTGGAATCTCTTTCGTCCAATTTTCTCCAACTAACCACTGCACTGGTTTAGTTTTTCCAGAGATGATTTTTGCCACGTGCTCCGGTCTCAGCTCGCCTATACAATATTTTCCGAGCGCTATAAGCTATTTTTCTTGAAACGAGGCTTATTATAGGCGACACATATCAAGTTCTATATATCTAATATATAAAATTCTCATGTCACAATGTTCGTTCCCATACTCCTCCGAAACCGGTTGACCGATTCTCATGAATTTTTTTATGCATATTCAGTAAGCCTGAGAATCGGCTACTATCTATTTTTCATACCCCTAAGTGATTAGGGTTGTCCACCCTTAACATATTTTTTTTTATTTGGACATTTTTTTTTTGTTATAATGAGGTATTATGTGAATGAGGTTTTGTTATTTTTATTATATATTCCCTCATCGTTCACAGCACTACATACCTCTTTCACTCATCTACCACATCCTTACACACTTACAATAAGTTAGTTTTTTTTATACACTAGAAATTCCCTAGCAATCTTATATATGGCAAAACAATGTTTGCCGGGTCAGCTAGAATACTATAATAACAGTTTACATGTTTTCATTGTTAATTATGATTCATGTTTATTTCTTTAATAAATAAACGAGCGCACCCGATCGTCAGCGATGGTCGGAAGAACTGTGGCATTTT